TCTTTGTGTGTCCTGTTCTCCCAGAACAATCCCCTGCTCTGACAATGTCCTTTATGTGGCTTAGTCCCTGCAGAACAAGCAGCAGTGTGCTCAGCCCAATGCCTGGCAGCTTTCAGCAGTGCTTGCCTGCAGCCCTACCACTCCACAGCCAAGGCACAGCACCCAGGACCCCTGTCCATCCTCTGCATGGGGCTGTGGTCATTTCAGATAAAGCCAAATGCTTCCCAGGAAAATGCTTCCCAGGAAAGGCTCAAGCACATCTGAGGACGCGTAAGAGGTGTCTTTCTTCTGAATCCATTTATTCTGCGGAGATGTTGGAAGTGATGCACCACAAGTGGGGAAAGCAGCCTGGGAAGTGGTTGTGGAGTGCATGCCACCGCATTGGCCTGAAACCCCAACCACCTATTGGGAGTGGAGAAATCACCAGGATTTGCAGAGCAACTCTCAGGCTCCAGGCAGTCTGGGACAGGTTACTGGAGCTGATCCACTGCTGTGGGCTCTAAATTATGAAAGCAAAATGAAATGGCTTCAGAGAGAGAGGCTGATGAGAAGCAGAGCTGGAGCTTTCTTATCACCTGCATTTTCTCTCTTCGAAGGCACCTCCCTGTGAGATAGACTTCAAAGCTCCCTGCAAATGGGAAGATTTTAGGTTCCTACCAGCAACTGAACTTGCAGATCTGCCATGGTCTTCCGCTGCAGCATGCTGCATGTGGACAGCCATGAAGGTTAGGACTGGCGATGAAGGAACAAGGGGAATGCTTTAGTGGGCCCAGAGATTTCTTACAACATCTGCAGAGAGTCCCAGGATGTCATGTATTGATGGAGTAATGCTTCCAGACTGCATTTGGGATGTCAAGGCCCACACCAGTGAGGCTCCTGGCTCTTATGCAGCTGATAAACAATTCGTTGTGGCAGGAAACTGCAGTCATGTGTCCTGCCCACTACAGCTGGCAGACAAAGTTCAGCAAATAAGCACACCAGGGCGAAAGTCTGCCTCCAAAGCATCTGAGTGCCAACACACCACCACAGTGCCCACAAGCTTCACTTTTATCTCACATTATGCCTTTTTTGCAGGTGATGTTCTAAAGTAAAATCAGAGCATTGTGTTACAGCAGGGTTTTGAGTGGGGTCATTTCATGCCTGTTGGCTAGAGAAATGTGTGTCCTTTCTGAGCAGCTCCCAGGGACTTTGGATTCCAAGACTGAAGGTATTTTGATCTTCTGGCTGAAGAGGGAGAAGAGGACTGATAGTGATGGAGTAATTGTCCTTTACTGTCAGGATGATGCAATCGGCATAAATAACAGATGCAAGTTTGTGCAAATGAGTCATTTAATGTTGATATCAACCATGGAAGGAGGCAGCATATCAGCTTCAGCTTAACCAAGCATGCACACTCAGGCATGACCTAACTGCCCATCTCCATTTACTGAAATCATGTGCCTGCATTATGGTATTTAATAGAGTTTCAGACTCCAAGCAGTGTATTTGTCTCCTCTTTTAGTGGCCAGAGAAGCTTGGTTTTATTCTCTCAGAACTACATAGTGGTGATGTAGGAGTCTCTCTTGGATGTTTTGGGGCTGTCAACATGATCGACTTCTCATTTTTCATCTTGGATTTACAGAGAAAGTGTGCAGCAATGATATATGATGGATAGTGCTGTAGGGTCCAGCCTTGGGAGAAAGAGAGAAGGATTAAATAATATCACAGACCCAATTACATTTGTGGTTTCTATCTGACCCCATGCTAAGTTCCTGACTATTCAGGATTAAAAATTAAAGGATGGGAGAGACTCAGACATCATCTTTTCAATCCCAAAGTAGATAGGGTGAATTTGTTTATTACGTGAGTCAAAGACCACTGAAGAATTACAGGGCCAAGAGTGCATACTTACTTTTCAATGGATTCATTTTAATTTTTTATTGTCATTAAGATTTTTTTAGTTGATTAATGTCAACATTTTTACCACATGAGAAACTCAAGATTAAATTTTTGTACATAAAAAAACCAACAAAATATAGCTATAAATTTAGTGAACAGTAAGAAAATATAAATTTATTATATATATCAAACATGAGCTATTTTAGGTCCTTAAAAAGCTGAGGTAATTTCTATCTCTGCAATAGCAACTGAGAAACTACTCATGGAAAATACTGATGGATCTTAGACTTGGAGAGACTGAAGCCCCTCTTATCCCTACCCAGGCAGTTACCCACGGTGACTCTATTTTTCAAGTCTGAGAGCAGAGAAGGTTCAATGCTGAGAAACCACACCGGCACTTCTCATCACACACAGATGAAATTGTTGTTACTAATCCCTAAGGTCATAACCTTTCTTCGAACTTCATTCCTTTTTTATTGCTTAGTTCCTACAGACCTTCCCATCTGATAGTCTGATAATCCTCTATACTGACAACTTCCATCTTTGTGCCTTCAGCAAGTTACATTAGCACACACTTGCTTTTTGCACACAGACAAAGCAATGAGGAAAAACAGAAATGCACCTGGCTCTGCAAGAGCGGAAGATAACAACTGGTGGATGGAACAACGGGAAGGCAGATCGCAGAGATTCACACCCACATCCGTCTGATCAGATCTCCGGCTTGAGAAGGATCAGCTGGTCCCTCACTAAAGCCAGAGTGGAAGTGATATGCTCTTCTCCCAGCTAAGTGGTAGAGGAAGGTGCCCAAATTCTCCAAAGCTGGGGCCCTGTGTACCAGGGACAGGCCGTACACAGCCCATGCTACTGTAAACAAGAGCACGACAGTCAGGTTGTTTCTTGAATTGCAGGTGAATTGCTAATAAAATGTAGGGCTCTGCCAGCTGCACAAGCAATATGTGTAGTAAGGGCACCCTCGTGCAGGTGTGTGACACAATCACCTTTTGTTTGTAGCCCATACTGTAGCCAGAGCAACATGCCTAGCTGGCTGCAAACAGTTTTCCTCCCAGATTTTGAGTCACACAGGCACGATTCAAGATTGAAGCAGATTACCCATTTACAAAAGTCTCTCTCCCAACACTTTGTGAACACCAGCCTGTACATGACAGGTCATGTCGCTCTGTGGCTTTGTCTCCTTCATCTTCCTTTATTTTTGAAGGATTTTCTTCAATTTGTGTGGTCATGCTCATGGCTAGAAGTCAGGAGCTCCACAACGCTCAGCAGACTAGTGGAATCCTTACCGGAGATCTCCAGGACTCTGCATTCTCTTCCAGTCACATCTAGTTGGGCCAGCGCCATTCTGCTGGAGAATTAACAGCAGAAACAGAAGATGAAGTAGCAATGGAAAATTAAAGAGCAAATACCCACAGAAGTAATGGTGTAGAGATTAGACACAACAGGGAACTGGAGTCCTGGACTGAGAGGGGAGAAAGAAATTGTATTCTGAGTAGAAGAGGGTGACCTGGAAATTTATTCCAGTAGAAGGAAGAAGCTAGGCTGTGCAATTTGGGGCTCAGTTTTAGAGCCTGACAAGCCTGCCAGCAAGGGTGGATCCAGAGGAGAGAAGGAATGCTTAGAGAAGCTATGAGATTGGGGATATGAGGCTGAAAACTATCTAGCAGGGAGTGGGAAGGAATTCATTGGTGTTCTCTCATTTCATGAGGAACAGCATAGCAAGATTTCCATTTAACAGGACCAAGAATCAACTTAGAGATCAATAGCTCAAAACAGAAGAACAAGGAAAACAAACGAAACACACGAAAGGTAGCAAATGAAATTGACGCTTGTTCTTAACAAGGGAGAAGAGTGATCCAGCCAGCTGCAGGCCTGCCTGTCTGATATTAGTAGTGTTTGATTAAAGAGTAACTCAGCATATGGACAGGAAATGGAAAGTGGGTTAAAATATAGTCTGTTATGCCTGTCTAACATTACTATAAAGCAATTGGCCCTACGTGGACTGCAGGGAAACAGATGATACACTGGGAACCTTGGTAGGCAGTGGGGGCAGAGGTGAGCAGAGGAATTTCACATGGGAAGGAGTGGTTAAAGGTCAGAAGAACACAGAGCTTGGTGCAAGGGAGCACATCAGGACACACAGAAGGTTACCACTGAGGTATTTTGTAGATATTAGCAAAAATATTAGGAGCATTCGGATGAAATTTGTACGGAATCCAGTGTTGTGAGGCATTGGCAGTGCAGGAAAGGAATTCTGTATCACCAGAATAGGCACGAAAATCTCCAGGAGTGCAGTTCTTTGTTTTGGGATTTTGTGAGCTGCAAGCACCTGAAGGATGTGACAAACATAGCCTTGGCTCCATCCAAGTGGGGAATTCTCACCAGGTGATCACAGAATGTGCCACCACTTCTGGTCACCATCTTCAGGAGGAACTTGAACAGCAGCATGGCCAGAAGTGTTGCCTGGACAGTAGGTGCCGGCAGCACAATGTTAGCTTTGAGCGCTGGTTAGGAAGCTTGTTTAGTCATCTGTATAATGGCTGAGAGGGAGATGATTGCTATCTGTAAGTACAGTAGACATAAATACATAGGTGAGGATCTATGGGAGTGTGGTGCAGGAGCAAATGGATATTAACTGACCATGAATCCATTTAAGCTAGAAAGGAGGTGGTTCCTAAGAATTAGAACAGTGAATTCCGAAACAGGCTTCAGATCAGAAGAGCATGGAGAAAAGCCCAAACATTTTATGTTCAAGTTCTGTAAGTGAAGACAACATTCGATAGCTGGTGTGACATCACAAAAAAAAAAAACAACAACACAACACATATGCCACTTGTCTACGGCTCTCCCTCTGCAGGGAGCTGCCTCACCCCTCAGAATCAGCGGATACCACCCCAAAACTCAGCATCCTCCCAGCAAAATTGGAGATCTCCATTCAACCCCAGCCCTGAGGTGAAGCCTGTGTGGGCGTGGCCATAAAATGGGCGGGCTGCAGTTATAGCGACGATTGGCCTAGAAAGAAAAGCTCCGCCCTTTTTGGGCGGGGCCCTTCCCTCTAAGCCAATCGTCAGCGGCGTGGGGGGCAGGGCAGCACTATATAAGTGCTGGGCAGCCGTGGTGGCGGGCAAAGCGGGGTGCGGCAGGCGGTGAGTTTATGTGTGTGCTGGGCTTCGCGCACATGTGGGGCTTAGTGGGGCGGGAGAGCCGGCCGACTGCTGGGGCTGTGAGCGCTGTGTCCGGCTGGGGCTGATCCTCCCTTGGAGGGTTATTGGGGGGGAAGTAAAGAGGGTTTGGGACGAGATGTGTAACTGGCTGGTGGGTTGGGCTTTGCTGTTGGAAAAGCCTTGGGCCATACTGTAGGGGTGCCTCAAGGCTTGGGGTTGGGCTGCCATGCGTCCGCTGTGCGGCAGGCTGCCCGCGGGCCAGGAAGCGCCGGCAGCAGCCGCGTGCGTGTGCCCGCGTTCCTGTCACCCGGGATGCTCCGGGGCACGGGAGGAGACGGGCGGTGTCCCGCAGGCCGAGTCCTGCGACAGTGTGGGCGCCGTGGCGGAGGGCCGGGCCTGGGGTGGCCGTGGTCCGATGGGGAGGGCCGGGTGTTGCGACACGGCCCCGGCAGGTGGCGAGGCTCTGGGCCGTTGGGCGCGGCCGCCGCAGGGCAGGAAGGCACCGAGCGGGGCTGTCATACGCGTGGGGATCGGGGGATGACGACACCAGTCGGCTAGAGCCGAGGATGCCCCGAGCCTGGGGCGGGCGGAGCGCCTCGGCCATCCGCCGGCAGCGGTGCTCGGACCCGGCGCGGGGCGCCCGGCGTGTTACGGCGCGGCCCGGTGGCTGCGGAACCGTCCGTCCTCACACTTCCGGGCTGCGGGGCTCTGGGCCGCGGTAGGCCCCGGCGGAGCCTCACCCCGCCCCGCGGCAGGGCCGGGCGCCGCCCCGCTGCTCGCTCCGGGGCGGGTGGGGGGGCCGACCTGCCGGGCCGAGCTGCCTCCCGCCGGCTTGCAGCCGGTGACGGGACGCGAAGGGCCCGGAGCCCACCGTGCTCGTCGCGGGGCGGACCCCGCTGTTGCTGGGGCTGCGGTGGGGCTTCCTCGTAATGAGGCGTGAGCGGCCTCCGCTGGCAGCACGGAGGCTGGGGAGTGTTCTCCTACGTAGCCCTCAGCATCAATGTGCCATTGAGAGATTCTTCTGCCCTCCTCCTCCGGTCAGGATGGCAGTACCAGGCCTCTGCCGGCAGCACAATGTTAGCTTTGAGCGCCGGCTGGTGTAGGTGCCGGTCCTCCCTCTGGCCCTTGCTCTGGAATGCCAGTGGGAGGAGGTTTCTTGGTCAACTTTTTGGTGGCAGCAGTACCCAGGCTGTTGTGCATGATGTCTGTGTGTGCTGAACAACTGTGGCCAAATGCTGACTATCTGACTTCCTGTAGGCAGTGCTGGGCTTGATCTGTATTTCATGTATGTGGGCCTTATGTGATGATACACAATGTCGGTGAAGCTGCAGGTTTGATTTCACAAGACCTGATGAGGCAATGTAAATGTAACTAAGGACACTCTGGCAAGTGGGGAAGCAGTATGTGTGCCTCGGTGTATGGACTCCTTTCCACAGCTGCTGTTGGAGCAGTGCAGAGGGGCTGCTTGATGCTGTCCCACTGGCTGTATACATTGGTTCTGGAGGGTGGGAGGAAGTGCAGTAACTCCCAGCTGGAGGCTCTTGCATTTGTTTGGTGGGCAGTGTGGGATAACACAAGGTACTTTGCTGCTAGTGCATCTGTCAGAGCATCTCATCCCCATGCCAGGGCTGTCTGTGCAGCAGTACATCCATCCTGCAGTGCTACCCAAAATTGTCCACCTTCTCTTCTGCTAGAATGCAGCCAGGGCAGATTCCTAAGTGGATGGAGCTGACCTTCCCACAGGACCTGCTGGGTGGCTTCTTAAGGATGGCTTACAGAGTCAAACAGTTGACTGAGCCCTTGGGGCTTGACTGAAGCTGCTGTATCCTTATCTTCTTCAAAGAGATGAGCCCCTTCAGCTTGTGGGTGTGAGCTGCTGCTGCCAACATATTCCTTTGAGATGCAGCATGATGCCAGCTGTTGCAGTAGCCTGCATCTCAGTGTAGGGATTAAGCCATGCCACCCACACAGCCCAGGCCTCTGTGCTCCCGCCCTGCATAGTGTTCTCATCTCTATTTCCCTGTAAGTCTATTACTTACAGAGAGCTTGTATGGTTCTCTGGGACAGGAATATGATTTAGTTCTAGCAAAACTGACAGAATGGACTCTGGGAAGAGGCAGTAAAATCATTCTGACCTAGAGTTGTCTTGAAGCATTTTTTTTTTTTTTAAAGATGAAAACAAAGGACATAGTGTCTTCTGTTTTTTCCTGATGGAGAAAAGCTTTACATCTCCGTGATGCTCTGATGCTGGCTTCCTTGCATTACTGTGTGATTGACTTTGCACTGTTGTCACAGAGTAGAGATGAACAGTTTCTCCTCACAGCTCTTGGGCTGTGATCCTTTAGGAATGAGCTTCAAGAGGTACTGGGAATGGTACCTGTGATGACCCAGGAGTTTTTGCCTGTTCCTATGCTTTTGTGCTGAATTTGTGCTACAATGTGCCCTGCTGTCAGGTGGTGGGAGTATGTGGGCTGGAAAGTCTGGTTCCTGCCAGTCAAACAGGTGAGGCAGCCTGAGCTCTTGCAGGCAGGAGCTGGTCCCCAGGAGCTGCGAGGCTGCTGTTGCTCAGAGATGACAGGCTGCAGCCGTCAGCTCTCTGCCTCAGCCTTTCCACAACAACAGGCCTGTGTCTGGCTGCATCTGGGACTGCAGTTTTGTGGGGATGCTAACTGGGTCTGGTAATTCTTGATTCTTCCTTGGAGTCTATTTAATTTCAGGTTGATCCTTCCCTTGTAGGACAAATCGGGTAATAAGCAGTCACTGAGGCAGCAAATTCTCCAGCTTTGCATGGTGTGCTCTTAGTCTGCAAGCACTGATCTGATAAAGTACTTGCTTGTGGTTTGCTAATAGACTTGTTCTGTATACATAGCGAGTTATATCCCATGCTGCTTCTACTTAATCCTAAGAGGCTTTCCTTCTCTGTATGGGACAAGTGGGAGAAGAAGTAGACTTGGTTTTAAGTGATCAATCTGCACCTGTAGAGATGAGGCCTCATGCTCATAAACCCTGTTAAAGGTGCCACCTGTTATGCCCTCGAGCTATTGAGCTCTGCTGTGCAGCTATGATGCTGCTGGAGTCCGTGGCATCTCTGGTTTTGCCAGTGAACATAACTTCTTGTTTGAAGGCGGTTATGTGACTGTGCTGCCCTTTGTGCAGGGAGTAGGGAAGCCCAAAGCTGATGGCATGGTAAGTTGTAGTCAGTGAGCCCTTCTGTGGGTGAGAAGTGGCTGAGTTTGTAATGGGCTTTTTGAATAGTCAGGGCAAAGCTATTAGAGTGATTTCAAGAGTCTTTCTGCTGCTTGCTTTGTAGACTTCAAATATCCATCTTGTTTTAGTGTCCCTGTCCAATTAGTGCTCATGCCTAGATGGTGCAGCGCACCGGTTATTACTGTGTAATATTACAGACACTGTGGAAATGGGTTTGGAGCCCTCTTGTGAAGCATTTGCATGATCATGAAAGCCACAGAGATGAGCACCCTGGTGTTTTGCCCATCCCACATGCAGATAGGGGTGATCAGTGTTCCTCTGCCAGAGGGCCTTGACCTACTTCTAGTAGTAGGTGTTGGGATCAGCCCTTCTTGGTCTGTGTGTCCTCCTTCATCACCTACTTAATTCTATTCTTTGGGTGCTCTTTGCTATGTACCCTGGAGGGCTGCTGTGTGCCATTGCTTCAGATAGGTAACCCAGTCATCTCTGCCTCACCTTGTACTGTGAGTATAGCACAGGGTCACTGTGACAATGTTGCTTTTACTTCTAAAGTAGTTTTGTGTGGTTTCTTTATTCCTTCACTCTTGTTCCTTGCAGTGTCAGAGTTTCTCCTGGTGTTGCCTCTTTGACAGCTCTCATCTGCACTGATAGCCTGAACATGGAATCACTGTTGTTGGGTATGATAAAGAATAAGCTTAGTCTGACAGCTTGCTTGCTCAGTTCAGGAAGATGCTCTCCCTGGGGAAAAAACACTGTTTGGATACAGGCCTCTCACTGCAGGTTGTTTTTCTGAGGATTCTGAGTCTGACTGCCTACTTTATTTTTCTGCACAAGGTTACTAAGCCCTATTGCTGCAGGCTTGTTCCTTCCCCTGTAAGCCTAGGGGGGATCTGATGACTACCCAGTCTGCAGGTTGCCTGCTAGTCTGGGAGTCTCCTCTCATTTCTTCCTTCTAGCACGCATGGGAAGGAGAGGATGTAATCTTTATAAGATGCCATCCAAAAGCCTGAAGGTTTTACAGCTGCTACTGAAGAGTGTATGGTGTTAACACCGACCTGCTGAGGATTAGGGAACTGCTCAGCTCCAGACAGGTCAATCACATTATGCTGCTTGGAGCTGATATGTAAGGAGCAGTGCTTGGCCAACTCCACTCCAGTAGTGACTGCAGCAACACTCTTTCTAGAGCTGTTGCATAGCAAGGGCTTGAGAGTTTGCCCCTTCACTGGAAACACAACTTGTCTGTATTGACATGAAAGGATACTGATGCTGACCATCTGTTTTCAGGCTGTAAGCAATGCCCTTTTTCATTTAGCATGAAATAGCTGAGCCAGAGGAAGTAATAAATGGATGTGTGATTCAAATAGGATCTTATCTGGTGGTGTTAACTGCCGAGTTCACTGGGAAGCTTTGCGCTGCCACTTGGGCTGGGAGATATGGGACTAGTTGTCATCAGACCCTGGTCAGTCCATCTGTCACCAGTCCTCAGAGCCAAGGTGTCAGGCTAGGGCAACTCTGTTCTCTTACTGTACCCCAAGTCTCTTGGCTGTGTTTTCCACATCTGAAGTGTAGCATCTTGTGCCAGACTGCTATTCTTTGCCCTGTGACTTGGGGCTCAAGTGTTTCTCTTAGATTCTCATTTCTCTTGGGGGACTGCAAGGTGGGAAGACTTGACTTCAGTATGTGGACAGCCGTGTTCCTACTGAGTCTTCACACTGATGGCTGGGATCATTCAGTGTACCACCAAATTCTTAAATACAGCTCTCCTGTTGGATGCTCTCTGCTATATGTGCTTGAGCTTCTTCCCAAGATGCTGTGTATGAAACCGGGTGTGCACTGAGTATTGTCCTCTCTTCCTCCTGGAGACGGAGCTGCAGAGGGAGAAAATCCAGTTCTCACTGCTTCATGTCTCACCTCAGTCTTACAGCAGCTCCCCTTCAGATCTCATAGAGAGCAGGGTGCTGCTGCTCAGGGATGCCCAAATTCCTGCTGCCTAGTCTCTGATTGCTATTGTTTTATGTTGGGCTGATGCTGTTGTGCTTATCTTGATTGAGTTCACTTGCATATAAGCTAAGGAGAGCTTATCCTGGAGCTGGCTGCTGTAGGTGATGAAGGTGCCAGCTTGTGATGCCTTCTGTGTGTGTGCTTCAAAGTTACACATTCTGGGGTGCTCAGTCCCATTCTGCAGTAGCTGCCATCTACAGATCTGAACTGTAGATCCCCGTGGCCCTGCTGGGGAATGTGGGCTCTGAGCACTTGAAGTGTGCACAGGCGCTGCCAGGCCCCTTTGGGGACTGGAGCTCTGTGAGGTTGGATGGGTGTTTCTGGTGTGCTGGGATAGAGCTGGGGGAGGATGAGCTTTGGAGGAGGCTTTTTTCCCTGGGGTTGTGGAGTTCATCAGCAGTCAACAAGCCTTGCTGCCTGCCTGTAGGTCAGGGTTGAGGGTTGGCTTGTTATCCAGCCAGTCGGTAATCTCCTGACCTTTGAGGGTTGCTGATCCCTTGGGAGCCTCATGGGGACCAAGCCTGCCATAGCCAGTTCAACAAGGCCAGCTCTGCAGTCACCAACCAGACTGTTTTGGTGCTGTCTGTAATTAAACTAGTGGGAAGATTATGGTGGCTTGCCTTCTTGCCTGTTACAGGACTGATTTGACTTGAGTACTGATGAAATGGGAGTGCTGGCTACTAGGCTGCTGGAGCTCACCCTGTTGTTTGTGATAGCTGCTGTATGGTAAGAGATAAGTGCTTTGAAAGGTGTGTGTGCTCTGTGAGGTAAAGCTACGCGGGTTGAGCTGTTGTCTGTCACTGATTCACAGTGTTGTGGTCAGGCTGCTGGGTCTTGTTATAAAGGGCCTTGCAGTTCTTGCTGAAGTAGCACAAATTGGCTGCATAGCTTGTTGGAAATCTGCAGTGTACACACTTAGTGTAAGTAAGCATCTAATCCTCAGTGCTGGTTACAGAGACAGAATTTGGCCTGCTGCTCTAGCCTGCAAATGAAATTTCCCCAGAGATAGAAGTGATAACCTGTTGGTGAGTGGTGGAAGCAGATGTGTTGCAAGGCCTTCAGGCAGCGTGAGGGGTGTGTTTGGGCCCCAGGGTGCTTTGGGAAGCTTGAACCTGTTTCTTAACTTCCCTTGAGCTAATCAAGGCTCAGTTTTGGGATCTCCGGTCTCCTCCCGGTTTCTTGCACAAGAGGACCAGGATCTTGGAGTCAAAGGAGAACGATTTCTTCTGTACTAACCTGTGAGCTGTAGACTCCTGTGGTATGTTGTGTAGTGTAGCATGGTGAGAGCAGATGCCTGACTGAATACTAATTCCTCTCAGGGTGCAGAGAGACCTGAAGTGTTGGTGTTGTGTGGAGGGATGAGGCACCTGGAGACTTGCAAGCCCTTCTGCTTTCCAGTGTGGAACAGCATGGAGCCCTTGTGATTCAGGAAGGCAAATGCATTTCACATCCTCTTGCCTGGCAGAAAGTAATGCTTGAGTCTGCTCTACAGTCACCCTTCTGCAGATCTATCTGAAGGCCATGGCTGCCCTTCAGGAGGTGGAAGTGGGTGAGACTTACTTGCATCTGCTTACTGAGCAAGGTAGGCTTTGGTCTCTGCTTTCAGGACCATGCAGCATGCCAGTGTGGATACCAGATCTTGCAAAGACCTTGGAGTCCCTAAAAATGTGGCTGCTATTAGCTTTGTTGAACAGAACAATATCCTGCTGCTGTAGAAAAACTCATACATCCTTTCCATAAGGTCTGTAGCACAGTCCTTCTAGTTCTACCCTGGTAGAAATTCTGGTGTGTGCCCAGAGCCCCTGTTCAGGACAAGACCAATGCCTTTTCTCCCTGCAATTGGTTGAGAAGCGTAATCCATAGCTTCTAAGCTTGTTTTCTTCTTAGGAGTGTGAGATGTAGCTCTGAGCTTGTAGGTGCCTTTGATACTATCATATCCCAGCCTGCCCCAAATAGCTAAGTGCTCCACAGAAGTCTTAGGTCTTTACTAAGACTGACTCACTCAGCTTGATAAGATAAACACTGAGCTTGAAAAGTCAGGTAGCTTGTGCTGGGAACTACTACTTGAGGGCTACTCAATCTAGCAAATATAGGTGTAGCTGGATGTTGTGGTCAAAGTCTGAAACTCAACAGACAAGTTTGGTGCTTGCTCTCTCTCTCATGAGAGCAGCTTAAAGTTCAGTGGCTTCCAAGAGCTGTGCTTTCTGTCCTTCCCACAGCAGAAGCCGTAAATAGCTTTCAAGGATGCTGTAGTTCCTGCTATGCTTTTCTGGCTTCTGTTAAGTGTGGAGAGGGATAATCTTAGTGCCTGGGAGTGCCTTCTGTGTTGCCAACAGAGGTTCCTGGGGTCTTTGGGAGTGCTGGCTGCTCTGCAGCCTCACTTGAAGGGGTACTTTAGGCAGTGGTGTGAAAGGGCTGTTAGAGGGAGGTAGGTGCACTGTCCAGTTCATGGAGCAGGGTACAAACAGGTGAGCACAGAGCTAGCGCTGCTGCGGTGGTACAGGCTTGCTGTCTTAAGTGGTGAATGGGAAGGTAGATAGCAGGCCACTATGATTGATGCCATTTTGATGCTTGATAGCCTTGTGTGGTGATTGCTGCTGTCCTGCCTGGTCAAAACTTGGAGGAGGGGTGCTGGTGTGACTGCTACTGGATGCTCCCTGCTGGGAAAAAAGGTCACTTCAGCCTCTCAGCTGTAGCTTGAATCAGCTATGTGCTTCCTGATGGTGGCAGCAGTAATCCTCCAGGGAGACTGCCATGGGGGGACCCATTTCTCCAGGCCCATGTTTGGGAAGTGATTCCTGTGCCCCTTCTTGGAGGAAGAGATAGGATGGATGGGATTTCTGCTCCCCAGCGTCATGGCTGTGAGTGGTGTTAACACTTGAGTGTGTTACAGCAAGAATAAGATCAAGGAGATGTAGATGCAGTGCTGACTGGAAGCTTTCTTAAATGAAATGTTAGGATCTGCCTTGGAAGGACTGCAGGTGATGATGTGGTTTCCAGAAGAGCTGAGGAGACAGGATCAGGTTCATGGAAGAGTAGGGAGTGCATGGCTTCACCGGATGCTTGTTTATAATCAGTTGGAAGTAATGACAACCAGGTAGTCATGACAGGACCCTGAAGCTGTGCTCAAGATGTGATGTTGTGTAGGACTGTGCTCTGCAGGTTGCCTTCCTGGGTCAACCGCTGCCTAATTTGCCCTCCTCTCTCTGCAGACACACTGCCACTACCATGGAGGGGATTGTGACTATGTATCAGGACTTCATGAAGAAAGCAGGTAAGTGGCTCTATGCAGATTCAGGGTGGGTGGCATTATGTGCTGTGCTGCCACAGGCCTGGGGGTGTGTTCTGACATCTGATGTAATGCAGGTCTAGCTGTGTTCTGCCCTAATATAAGTGCAGCTCTGGGGTTTTTAGGCTACCTGAGACTGTCTTGCCTCAGTGTCTGTTGAGGCATTTGTGCCCTCCTCCAGGCAGCTCTGAAGCACAGCTTCAGGCTATATCTTATACAGCACAGCTTTGCTGGGTTCTCCAGTCTCTGTTACCAGGTTGCCCCTTGCCTGTACTCCTGTCCTTGGAGAATGGGGCTTCATGTCCTTCACTTTATTCTGGTGTTATCACTGCTGTTAGCACATTGGGGTTGGGATGCTTACTGCTGTGCACTTTGGCTTTCTCCACAGACCCCCGCATTGCTGATTATCCACTGATGCAGTCCCCATTCCTTGTGTTGGGCATCCTTCTGGCATATGTCTACTTTGTACTCTCCTTGGGTCCCCGGCTAATGGCAAACAGGAAGCCTTTAAATCTGAAGAAATTCATGGTGCTATATAACTTCTTCCTGGTGGGACTCTCACTCTACATAGTCTATGAGGTGAGTTGCCAGCAGGTTGTCTGGCACATACAAAGCAATCCATGCAGGCTGTGTGGGTCATGGAAGAGCACTTCGTGGGTTCCTTGGTATTTTGAGCAGGACTGGGAAATGCAGTGGCTTGTGTGTTGGACCTCACTCTGCTCTTGTTGCAGTTTCTGATGGCAGGGTGGCTTACTGGGTACACCTGGCGATGTGACCCTGTGGACTTCTCACAGGACCCCAAGGCCCTCAGGGTGAGTTCTCTTGTCTCTCATGAGTAGGGATGGCTTTCAGTGCTTGCCTGGACAGCAAGTTCCCTGCCTCTTCTTTGAGGCAAATGACTTGGTACCTGGCTTTTAGTGTCACTCCAGGGTTCCTGTCTGGTGGGATCTGGTTACGGGGCATGTTCAGACTGACATGGGAATCATGTTAACTTGTTCTATTGCAGATGGTCAGTGTTGCTTGGCTGTTTGTCTTTTCCAAGTTCATTGAACTGACAGACACGGTAAGTTACTGGAGAGGCCTTGTTCTTGGGGGAAACTTAATCACTGCTTTGGGCAGGGATTTGAGGCCCAGTGTACTTGAGGTGGTAGGTGCCTCCTTTGGCCCCTTCAGTCTGAAATGCTGGTGGTTCTATCGGATATCACTGATGGGAGAGATCACTCTGGATATCACAGAGGCTACTTCTATCATAACTCTGGAAGCTGCAGGGTAACCTAATGTGTGGTTGCAATGATCTTGGGGGGAAGAGGAGGAGGGGGGAAGCATCACTGAGACCAGACACTGAAGCAGTGGCCTGGGTTATTTCACCTGCTCCCAGGATGCTGACCTCTGATGCTTGCTGGGCTCTCATTGCAGGTCATCTTTGTCCTGAGGAAGAAGAATGAGCAGGTCACATTCCTGCACCTTTTCCACCACTCTGTTCTGCCCTGGAGCTGGTGGTGGGGAGCAAAGTTTGGACCAGGTAAGATAAGAAATAGCTGGAGAAAAGCTGGAGTTGGTATCAGCTGAACAAGGAAGGCATTTTTTCACTACTGCTGGACTCCTAGGAGTCTTTTTTTTTTTTTTTTTTTTTTTGTAGTACTGCTTTGCTGCAGATGATTGACTTATTCTTGTGCAAATGTGTCTAACAGGGGGAATGGGATCATTCCATGCCATGATCAATTCCATGGTGCATGTGGTCATGTACTTCTACTATGGGCTCTCAGCAGCAGGACCTGCCTTCCAAAAGTACTTGTGGTGGAAAAAGCACATCACAGCCATCCAGCTGGTAAGTCTGTGCTATGGAGTAGTGTGTGTGTCCTCAGCCTCTGATGTGAATGGCAGATCAGTGCTTGTACATATGAAAGATGCAACCAAGAGCTGTAGTTCTTCTTTCTCAGTCTTCCACTCTGTGTTTCTAGCAGCTCTGGCCTGCTGTGGTCTCCAATAGCCCTTACAGCCTGGTGAGGGCATGGAGAGTGCTCAGCCTGCTGCCTCTGGGTTATGGCATGTTGGGAGGGTGATAGACAAACACTGCTTTAAAACTCATGCTTGCATCTTCCAGCTGCAGCTGGCTGCTCCTCTCTGTAAGAACCTGTATTTAGAATGGGCAAAGAGACTACAGATTTAATTTAAAAAAAAAAAAAAAAAAGTGTATAGTGGGAGATCCTTAAGCAACTCCTGTGAGTTATTTGTTTCTGTTCTGCCTTGTTCCCCAGGCACAGTTCGTGATTGTCTCCGTCCACATCTCCCAGTACTACTTTATGCCCAGCTGCCAGTACCAGTTTCCCATCTTCATCCACCTTATCTGGATTTATGGGACCATCTTCTTCATCCTCTTCTCCAACTTCTGGTACCAGTCCTATACCAAAGGCAAACGATTGCCCAGGGTGGCTCAACAAGCAGCCCAGCACAATGGTAGCAGCATCCATGAGAATGGCACTGTCACCAACGGCAAGGTCAAAGCCAACTAGAGGGCAGCCTGGCCCTCCCAGAGCCAATGAGAGCCCCGGGGCAGAGGCAGCTGGGACCTGTTCCCCTGCTCCTGGGTGCTACTAGCCAAGTCAAGTGCCTACAGACTGTTGTACCCTTGTGCCCAGCCCTGCTGTCCTCTGTCTGCATGCCCAGCCCCTCTGCTCCGAGCAGCCGTGGGCAACTTCTGCTCTTGGGAGGGTTTGTGCTGTTTCTCGCTGTTGTTGAACGGAGAGACAGCTGCCTGCATCACAACTTGGGGCTGCAGTCCCATTCCAGTGTTTCCAAAGGAATTCCCCCAAGTGCCTGCATCTGGCCCTTTTGCCTGGGGGCCATTTCCTTCTGAGTAGGACCAAAAGAAGAGACCGATCCCTGTCCTGGTGCCCTCTCCTCTTCCCTGGCTCATGAGAGCCTGTGTGGATGAAGTGACTTGTCCCTGGTTGCTTGCTGCTGCCAGCTCAAGTGTGAGTGCTCCTGCTATACCATGCCTTGTGCCACTTTGTTCCACGCCACAATGCTGTGTGTCCCTTGTGCTCCCTATATACCCAGGTGGTGGTGAGGGGGTCCTGCCCTGGTGTCTGTGCTCAGGTGTGGCTGTGGAGAGTGTAGGGGCAGCAGATATGTGGTACTTGAAGGCCTGGAGCTGCCCAGTACAATACACATGCCTTATGCCTAGTACGAAGTGGGGTTGTGACACCCTGAAATGCCTCTACCATATAATAAGCCCAGGTTGCCTTGCATTTCTTTCCTGTGCTTGGGTGGAGTGCTGAGCATGTGCTTTTAGCCATGCTTATGTGTGATCCAGAATAGCAGTTGGTGGCTTGTTCTGGAGTGAGGGAGGCCAAGCTCACTGTGCTTTGGGTGACTTACATTCCTGCAAACTCAAGACTCGAGCAATAATTGCCTCTAGAGTTGTCTGCTGGGCTCTCCTGCCTGGAACTGGCTCTGTTCTGGCCTGATGTGAGCACAGTGGAGGATGGTTGTAGCATATTCTGCTATGGTGTAATGGGGAACACCTCTTGCCTTCATGGATTCTGCTAGGGTTGAGTGAAGATGTGCTCTGCCATTCAGCAGGGCAGTGCAGCAGCTCTCCTGGGCCTGGTGCTTGTTGCCTGCTCTGACTAACCAAAGCTATATTAGTAGCCTTGAGGATGAGGTGAAGGAGCCAGGCCCAGTCAGATTGGGCTGCTCTTCTATCACAAATAAACAGACAGAAGGAGAAATGGCTCTGCCCCTTGTTTTCCTGGCTTGCTGTGCTGTGAAGCTGTTCCAGCTGCCTGGTCCTGCCCAGTGGTTTTGGAGGCAGGGCTGGGAGAAGCAGCTGGTGTAGCAGGTTTGTGCTGGTGGGGAGAGGGCTGTACTGTGCTGATGAAGCAGATGGCAGATTGTTTCCAAGTGCTTTGATAGAGGGGTGCTGAGGGCAGGAAGTGTGTCAAGGCTCCTGTTGTGAAAGTGGCTCCACCCTGTTAAAGAATGGCTGGGGTGGAACAGAGGTGTGGGCTGGGACCTGGGCCAGCAGAAGCTGCTGCTGCTTTTCAGAAACCCTGTCCTGGCTCTAATGCAGAATTGGGGTGGAGTGGGGATTTGAGACTCTGGAAACCCAGGTTATGGGGAAAACAGCAGGGAGACCAGCCAGCTGCTTTCTGAAGAGGGAAAGGAATCTATTTAAAGCTGTTGCCATCTCTGAGTGAAGTGCTGGTCTCTGCAGAAAGTATTTCAGGCTGGACAGGGGATAGTTTCCACTGCTGCTTTCTTGCTCCTGCTACAGCAGTCTGTCTTCCTCAGCTGGGTTCTGTTCCCCTCTACTAGCTGAAACAGTTTGGCTTTTATGCAGAATGGTCAGTGCTGCCTTCCTCATCAGCTTCTGCTGCGTGGGAGGGCTAGGCCTGAGTGCTGACTCAACCCTGAGAATTGGGCTGGGTAGCCAGCCAGCTTGTGTGGCAAGGAGGAATGCATGAACCCAGAAGGCCTCCAGGTGAGTTTCACTGTAGATTTGATTGTGGTGTGGGAGGGCTTTAGTGGAAGCGTAGCCAAAGCCTTGCAGCTGGGTTTGGTGTGGATGAGAGCTCAGTTGCCTCTGCCTTGCATATCTTTTAGGAAGGAGGACAGGCTGCTGTCCTGTGTAAACATTCTTCCCCATTTCTACTAGTGCTGCTCCTGGGTTAGGGACTGACAGAAGAGTTCTGGCCCTTACTGAAGTGGTGGCATATCAGCTCAGTGCTCAGAATTCACAGCTTGAGCAGGAGGCAATCCAGCTGAGACAGAGTGCTGCCACTGTTTAGCTTCCTTTCCCCTCCCTGCTTCTCGCTGGCTCTTAGTGAAGACAGGACTGTCCTTGCTTTTGCCCAAAATAGTAACAGAAGTTTAAACTACTTACACTTGATATTCTAAAAGAGGGCTGTTCCTTCTGTGTGCTCTGCTTGCCCTTCCTCCAATTGTTCCTATTAGCTTGTGATCTTTCCATGGGTGGGCTGTGGAGCTTAGTCACTTATTCCCTATTGGGGACAGACAGTTCCAAACTGCGTTTACACCCTATATGGCAGTTGCTGGGCTTGCATGTGAGCTCCTTCCCTCCAGGGCAGCAGGGCCAGTATGGGGCCAAGGGAAGAACACTGTAATCCCATCTCCTTCCAGTAATGCTCAGGGGACTTTCAAGAGACATGTAGAAGCGGAGTTTCTGGAGGCGAGTGTGCAAAGGATGCAGACAAGCTAAGCCCAGAGTAAGATAAACCACTATTACAGGGGGATAGGTGGAAAAACTGTGCTAGCTTTCAGACATGCAAAGCCTTCTTTCCAGAGAGGGTCACTCCTGTGCTCAGGCTCTGCCTCCTGCAGCTGCTGTGACACCATACTCCTTTTTGCCAGCGTTATGTGTAGCCCTTCTCTGCTGCCTGTGGGCTAAGGCAGTGGCTGCCTGGTACAGCACACAATGCTACTACCTGGCAGAAGTGGGTGGAACCTGGTGCAGCATGGCACTGTGTGGGGGAAAAAAAAGGGGAAAGCAGGCTAGGAGGTGCATAGGCTTTGCTAAGCTGCTTTGCATACACTAAGATGTTATTCACAGCTCTGCAGTTCTCCAGGCTTCCCCAAATAGCCCATTATGGGGTGGGTGCACAGTACCCTGGTGCAGCCCTACAGCCCCAGAAAATGCAGTTCCACATTCAGAGTAGCATGGCAGCTTTGGCCAGGGTGGTCTTTGCTCAGGTAAAGGTTCACTGTATCCATTAGTTTAAGATGTTCAAAGGGAGTGGGATGCTGCTCATATGACTTCACCAGAGGAAGGATTGAAGAGAGCTTGCACAGACTAGACATTAACTTCAGCTTGTGAAGAGTTACTGCTGCCAGGGGTGAACCCCATATTGTAAGCTGGCCCTAAAAACAGAGCTCTACTTCTTGCCCAGAAAACTAACCTCAGGGAAGAGTTTCTTGTTGATCTAAGCCACAGATGGCACTTTCTTCCATCAGCTTTAAAAGGCAAAGGCAAATTAAAGCTGTTTATTAACATTTAAAATACTGTACAGTGTGTAAGCCAATGTCCCAGCTTCCCACAACACCAACCCTGTGCACTTATCGGATGCCCTGGTGAATGATGCTGCTTTTGGCACTGTTTGCCTTCTCTTTTTCCTTCTTCTTTATGGGATCCATCTCAAAACAGCGCCAAAGCCGCAATGTTTCATCAGCAGCTGCCGACGCTACTGTTACACCGTCTGGGCTCATGGTTAAGTTCAGGACTCGGGCAGTATGACCTAAGGAAGTGTATAGTCAGGGCTGTGCTGATTTTAAGAGCAACCATCATTCTCCCCATCTTTTGCACTTGTGTCCCTCATAAGCCTTAACAGCCTGCATCAATGCCCCATAATGTACTGAAGCCTTATGAGGTTACATCCTCAGCCTATAATTCTAGAGAATGTCCCTGGACGCTTTTTTTTATTATTGGTGCTTCAGGTTAGACAAGTAGCAGACTACTTGAACTGAGGATCAAATCTGCCTTCAGCCCTCCCTTCCCCAGGGAGCCTAGCTTACCTCGAAGTTCAGTGACCTTGGCCATTGTTGGATACTTCCATATCACCAGCTGATTCTGTGCAAAGCCATGGCCTGAAATGAACTCTTTATAGGTTGTTGACCACAGGATAGAACAGACCTGCGGAGAGGCAAAAATACTATGAAGACATGCAAGCTACTTGTGCTGATGTTCATCAGCAAGGATGAACCCCTGCTGGCTCCCTGGCCTGTCCCAGGCCTCAGGAGCCATCGTGTGTGCCAGAAAGAACTTTATCACCAGGATGTTTATGTCTCACCTGGGAGTGGGCATCAACAGCACTGAGACAGGTGCCGGAACAGACATTCCAGATGCGGATGTGTCTGTCGCTGGTTCCACCTCCAGTGGCTAGGACATTTGACTGCCACGGACACCATGCCACAGCCTGAGGAAGAATCAGTTCATTTTAAGAAGTACTGGAGGCAGCCTGTTTCCTACTGCGTCTTCCAGAGCTCAGGCCACAGCAGCTCCAGGGTAGCCTCTCTCCACCAGGGCAGGGACTGCAGCAAGTGCTACACACCTGCTTTTCATACAGACATGCCCCCACACTATCTACACAGCAGGCCTGCACTCACCTTGACAGCACCCTGGTGCTGAGTGAAGGTCTGTATGGGAGTGAAGTCTCCACTGTCTCCCTGGACAGATGGCCAGATGTTCACCAGGTTGTCGTTGCCACCACTGGCCAGGTAGCGACCATCTAGAGACCACTTGAGTCCACACACCTCTTGTGTGTGGCCAGTAAGAGTGGCCACGTGGTGCTCAGCCACTCTGACATCATGGTGGTGGATGTGGCCAGTCCGTGACCCACTGCAGAGAGGAGATTCACAGTGTCAGACTAGCTCGTTTTCACCAAAAGCTCTTTGTGCTATTGCAAGGCTGCCTTTATTGCCATTGAGATTCAACCAGTGTTAACCACCATCACTGGCCTGTTGACATGAGCAGAGCAGCCACAGAACCTCTTCACAACCAACTGTGTCCAGCAGCTGGATGCTGCTTCACCCCCAGCTTTACCTGGAGAGGATGTAGCTGTTCCAGCTGAGGGACCCCACCCGAGAAGAATGGCTGGTCATACTTCGGAGACGCTTCTGCTGCTGTATGTCCCATAGCTAGAGAGGCAAAAGTATTATGTTCTCCAGAGGGTAAGGAACAGCAGCATTGTTGCTTTGCCAGGAAACTTTACTACACAGACTCTGGCATTTGACCTTTTCTGTATAGGAACAGCAATTAATTTCTTATGTATGAAACAGTTATTCCAGGCATCAGAATATCCCTGAAGTCTGCATTGCTACTGCAGTTCATCACTGGCCACAGGTGGGTGGGGACACTTCCCTTATACTAGTCTTAGCACCCTCAACATCACAAGACAGAGGCTGTAACCACTAATAGTCACAAGACCACAGGAAGGATTCCCACTGCAGTGAGGGTCGCTTACAGCCCTTTGGAGAGCAGATGACAGAGCTCTAAGAAACTACTTAGAATTTGTGCTGCCTAATGATGACATGAGCATAAGGGCACCTTCAGACAATATTGCTCCCGGGCAGAGAAGCATATCAGTGTCAAGTTCTCTACAGGCCTCTGTCACAAGTCATCCACTTCAGCCCTTTGCTCCCACAGTGGGCAGCAATTCACTGAACTGTAACAAATGCCAGAACATTCCTCTTCCCTGTGCTAAGGATAAAGACAAGTCAGAACACACTGTATCTGCCCTGTGCTAGCCAAGACTTTGTTCCAAGGCCCCACAGCTCCAGCAATCCTTAGACCACCTCTCATTTTACTGCACTCACCTGGACCTCAGCATTTCTTGTGCCAACAGCAAGGTAGTTTCCTTCTTTAATCCATGACAGAGAGGATACATAATCATCTGGATTCTCTATCTGCAGCAGCTGGATGATTTCCCCAGAAGAGTGATTCCACAGATAAACACAGTTGTCCAGAGCCACTGCCAGGAAGTTCTGAGAGCTCCAGTCAATGAGATTCAGATCTACAATTCGGAAGAGCAGTGCGGCTGACACAGTGCTTACACGCAGAACCCCACCCACATCTTCACACAGCACTGCAGTGAAATATTTTCACTAATGCCAAATGCCATATCTCCCACCTGCACCAGCCACATGTGCATGCAGGTAAGGGGCAGCCTCCAGGGATCCACCATGCCCAGTCAAGTAGCCCCAGTTCAAATTACCCACATGGTGCTTTGGACTATTAGGCAGCACAGAGACACTCAAGAATTGGTTAATGCCAGTCTTGGGCTGTTTCAGTTTCTCATGCACCCATTAGAGAGTTTCGGTTCATCAGACCATGTTGGCTTAAGTCTTTTACCCCACTGCAAAATGATCTCAACACTGCAGCCTACTTACAATAGTCATTGCGAATCTCTGGTGCATCCAGGATCCGGTCTGGCATTGAGGGAATGTATCTACCATGCTTCCTACTGGAAGCAGGTGTAGTCTTCTGGCTGTAGAGCACTTTCAGGTTATTCTGATAGCCTGTGTGCAGAGAAACAGCTTTGATATCCTGCTTCCTCCTGACCATTCACCCAACTAGAAAACCCCTTCAGTTAGAACAAAGTCCTGGAAAAGAGGTCTGGATATCAGAGCACTGTGTTATAGCCTTATTGACAGTATTAATTACTGAATCAGAGTGGTTCCCAATTCAGAATAACATGTTTGACTATTACCATTCACTTTCTTGCTACGGAAGTTCAAAGCTTTTATAGGCAGACTTCAGGAAAATACATTTTCTGCAGTGCAAGTTAACAACTGGCAGTCATAACCCAGCTTTCATAAAACAATACAATGAGAAACCTCACACAAAAAACATGCCAGCTGTTACGCCAACCCCTGAACTTCAGGAAACCTGAGAGAGATTCCAGTGTGTGAAGAACTCTGAGATCAGCTGATCTCTCCCATGGCCAGAAATAGGGCCACATGTGTTGCAGTTCCCCACACGGATCTCTGTACCCAAGTCCCTCAAACAGGCCCTGCATTGCACCACCCTCACTCTGCATCGTACCTTCTGGAGCGTTCTGTGGCTTTCCACTAAGGCGAAGAATCTTAGCCTCTTCTACATCAAAGCCATTAAGATTCACTGCCCAAGATTTCTGTTGCTCCTAGAAAAACAAGCTACCCTCAGCAAGTCTCATTTGAAATACCACCTTTAAACAAAACTGCAGCTGGTAGAAGACAGTTTGGTTGCACTGTGGGATTCAGCTGCATATAGGCAGCTCAAAGTAGGTTTTTCCTCAGATACCATCAGCAGGACATGGTGCTGTTTTCATGAAGAAAGCTATAGTCACAAGGGACCAAATGCTTCATAAACATTTCCAGAGCACTACATGCACATTCCAGAATTGCTCCCCGTGCAATATTCTATTGTCCTAGAATAGCTACTGCCAGCAGTTTCACACTGCTCAGGCTCACAGATCTCTGTAACCTCTATTTAGAAGTCTCAATAACCCAAGTTCCACTGTCAGAAGCTGCACAGACCAAAGCAGAAGCCTGTGCTTAAGGAAATACCTCTGCAGAGCAGCTACGTGCTCAGCCCACGTGTACAGGCTGTGCACAGGTTCCACTTGCAGGCTCCTGAAGGTCCAGCGCAGGAAGTGGAGCTGGTGGGGACCCTCATCCCCACACCTGCTTTTAGAAGCTGCTTTCTCTGTGTCAAGTCACAAAGGATCAGGTATTTAGTGACAATCATATTAATCACAGTACTGTGCTCACCTTCTTGGTAGGGGAATTTTCAGCAGGGTCATTTTCTTTGGTTAGGAGGAAATTGGCCATTTCCATCTGCATCGTGCTGCGGTTGGGAATGTAGCGATCCCCCCCAGCTTTTGTTGGGGTGCTCTGGACTTTGGATCCAGATTTGCCTGTGTTCACATACGTAAATATTGTTTTAGAGATACTGAGAGAGTTTGCGTTCAACAAACTTCCAAAGCAAAACGAACACCGTTTCCAAGAGGCGCTTCAGCAGTTCAGCCTACAGCAGAGACAAGCTCCGTGGCTCAGAACACACAAGCCGCAATTCGCAGCTATTCCCAGCCTCCCCCGTACCTCCCCGCATAAAGGCAGCGAGCTCACATCGGGAGCGGCCACAGAGAGAACGCCCGGGTTCTGCCGCAACAACAGCGCCAGAGCTCACGGAGAAGGGGAGGCCATTTCCCACTCACAGCGCACGGAGCGGACGAGGCACGCAGCCCTGCCGCGCCGAGTCCCAGCAGAGCCGCATCGCGCGGCCGGCGAGATGCTGGAAGCGGCGATCCGCCCGGCCGCAGCGCGGAGCTCCGCGCACCCAGAAGCGAGGGACGCCCTCCGCCCCGCCCGGCATCCCAACGCGGCCCGGCACAACCCCGCTCCCGCCCCGCCGCTCACCGGGGGTCTTGGACGGCGTCTTGCTGCCGCTGTAGGAGCGGTTGGCCGGCTTCATGGGCGACATGCTGGCGGCGGGGCTGGGGCCGGCGCTCTCCTTGGCCTTGCGCTGCCACCGCGCGGGCGGGGCGTTGGGGATTGGTGTGTCCAGCTTCAGCAGCCCGTGCAGGTCCGCCTCGAACACGAAGTGCGCCATGGCGCTGCGGGCAACCCGCCGGTCAGTGGGGCGCTGTCAGGCACGGCCACTAGGCACTCCCGCTAGGCCGCGCCTCGGGCCCCCCGTCTCCACGGCCTCTCCCCGTTCGGGCCTAGACAGCCCCCCAGCCCGGAGCCCCGGAGTCCCCCCGCCGCCGCCGCCGCCGGCCCCTCTCACCTCCGCGTCCCGCTCAGCCTCACGCAGCGCCCCCCTTCCGTTCACCTCGGCTTTTAAAACCCGCGCGGCCTCCCTTCCCGTTGGTCGCTTCAAATCTAAACCGCCGCACGTTGTCATGGCGACCTCGCGCAGCCGCGCTGCGATTGGCTGAGCCGCAGAGTGGGGCGGGACTTTCCCCGCCGGGGTGCGGTCTGCCCGGCAGTGGGGGAGCGGCGAGGGTCGAGGTGCGGGGTCTGCCCGGGTGTGGGGCGGGGCGGCGGAGGCGGCGCTAAAGAGCGGGGAGACCGCGTGGTTGGTCTGTATTTTATGGTCTATATTTTACATCCCAGGGGGAAAAGGGGCCGAGGGCGCTCCACGCGGCTCCCAGCCGCCCATCAGCAGGTAGGAGTGGTTGGCGATGTCCGTGCTGGGCGCCGGGCGGCTGGCAGCGGGTTCTGGCGGAGGATCCCCGGGCTCGCCGCGGGGTCCGGGCAGCACCTCCAGCAGGCAGGGCAGCACGGCGTCCTCCGGCGGCTGCTTGTAGAAGGCGCAGGGCTGGGTAGGGGGGAGGAGATGCGCTCGGGGCGGCCCCGGGGCTGCGGGACGGCCGGAGGCGGCCCGGCCCGGCCCGGCGCTCACCTGGCCCTGCTTGGGGCTGTCGTGCAGGAAGGTGCCCAGCGCGCGGTGCAGGTCGGGGACGGGCGGCCACAGCTTCTGCTTCACGCTGCTGAGGAGGCGGCGGGGCGATGTGGGCAGCCCCGCGGCTGCAGCGTGCACCCCGCTGCCCGCAGCACGGCCTTACCTGTACAGGGACGGGAAGGTGCACCGCAGCCCCAGCAGCACTCCGGTGAAGATCAGCGGTGCCACCGTCACGCTCGGGATCACCCAGCCTGCCACGGAGGGGCGATTCCGCAGAGCCGGTCGATTCTCCTCGTCCCACCCAGGCGCCCTCAGCCCCGCATGGCCCTTACCCGCTTCTGCCGCGACATCGACCGCGACGGGCTGGGACCACGCGCTCCAGCTGCCCCGGTACTGCGGCCCACCGGGCTGCGTCCGCACCTGGGCACGATAACGGGCACCGGGCCGGAGGTCCAGCACTTCTTTCCTGGCCGCCCGCGGGACCTGCAGCACCTGCGGGCAGAGCTGAGTTGGGGCTGTGCGGGGCCTGCGGCTGCCCCGTGCCGACCCCTGCATCACCTTCCAGTCGAGGCTGTCGTCCGTGGCGTAGCGAATCTGGTACTCCAGTTGCTCCGCCAGCGCTTCCAGGGGCGGCAGCCACCGCAAGGTGAGCCGGCCCTGTGCCGCCGTCACCTGCACGTCCCGCGGGGCCTCCGTGAGCACTGCGGGGTGGGGACGTGTCGCTGCCGTGGGACGGCACCCTGCCCCGAGCGACGGATGTGGAGTGCAGAGACTCACCGGCCTGGTGCAGCCAGAAGGGCTCCTTGAAGTAGCTGAGCACGGGTGGGTCGTGCAGCCGGGTGATGTTCACCAGGACGGCAATGGGGCTGCCGGCCGTGGGCTGGAAGGTGCAGGTGTGTCTGCCCTGTGTTCCCACGCTGGCCTCTTCACACTGCTGCCACATTTCATCCCTGTGTGGCAGGGAATGGGCAGCCGGTCAGCCTGCGGTGCTAGTACTGCTGCCACTATTCTCTGCTTGGGGGTACAGCTCTGTGTCACTGCTGTGCTCTTTACCTCATGCCAGCCCCGCTCGGAGATGCCCGGTAGAAGAGCTCATGGGTGCTGTGTTGCTCTGCAGGGTCCCAGCTCCACACACAGCGCACACACCTCAGGTCGGGAGTGCTGCAGTGCAGCCCAATGTCCCCTGAGCAGGTGAGAGCCAGGGCAGAGTGGCTGCTTCTTCCCAGACCCCGCAGAACCTAACTCCCATGTGTGGGCACTCTGCAGCCCCCAGCAGCGGAGACGGACAGTCTCTCACCAGAAGAGTGGGGCGTCTCTGCGACCACCACCTCCGACCAGGGCCCCCAGACACCATCCATTGAGGTGCCGTCAGGCTTGCTGCGCACCTGGATGTGGTACTTCACCCCTGGCTGCAGCTCCCGGAGAATCACCCATGTGTCGGCCTGTACCAGCCCCTAAAGAGAGTGGTGAGGGTGGGGGGCTGCCACGTGCCCCAGATCCCGCAGCTCCTGTACGTACTTGCCCTGTTCCCTGGGAGGATGCAGCTCCCCTGGCTGTAGGTGGGTGGGCTCCGTTGGTGGGATGGGCAGGGAGGTCCCCGGGTGCCGTGCCACGGGGTGTCACTGTGGGGGTCATGGGATGGTAGCACACCTCATAGAGAAAGAAGCTGGGGTAGTCAGCAAGTGGCGGCTGCCACGACACACGGAGCTGCCCTGTGGCTCCTGCCCAGTGGGCACTGATGTTCACCGGTGGGGCGATGAGACCTGCAGAAATGTGGCAGGGCATCTCCAGTGTTACAGCAGCCACAAGGCCCAGATGCTGCCAGTGATGGGTGGGAAGAGGGAGGGGCACCTAGGTGTAGGGATTAGGGTTGTGCCACGGGAGAGACTCACCCACTGCATCCACGCTGAGCTCCCGCCTGTGCCTGGTGCGGTTGGTGGCAGCGTCCAGGACAAGAACGTGGAGCTGGGTGAAGAGCCGCACATCTTGGCTGGGGAACACGCAGATGTGCCGCATCCCATTGGCCCCACGGCGCTGTGTGGAGACTGCACATATGGTGGGTGCATCCCTGAGGAACAGATGGGGCTCCTCCAGCACCCTGAGCCTGGGGCCAGCTGAAGGGAGGGGATCTGGCCATGGCAGCGGTCCCTCAGTGTCACCACTCCTTCCCATGTCCCCGCGGACTCTACCTGCTGTACCAGTAGTAGAAGCGGTGTATCCCACTCGCCTCCTCCTCATCCCAGAAACACGTGAGATCCTCAAAGGAGCGGGAGAAGCAGAGGATGTCCTCGGGCACCTCTGCCAGCAACACGGCATCTGGTGGGAGGGAGGGCATGAAGGAGTACCTGGCTGCCTCATCCCCTGTGAGACCCCTCCTGCCCGAGTCCCCCACCAGCACTGAGGGAGGGATGCATACATCACCACTGCTCCCCCTTCCCAGCACACAGGGTCCTTGGGACAAACAAACATCCCAAAATAGCCCTGTGGTCAGATAGGCTCTGGAGATCAGCGGGAAGCACCCGGCTAGACTCACTCCGGAAGGCACGTGGAAGTGCGATAAGGAGAGCAATGCTTCAGGAGCGGCAAGGGCCTGGGGCTTGTGTGGGGTTTGCAGCCCTGGGCATGGGGGGGTGCTTGGCAACAAATGGGCTCTGCTGGAGAGCTTGCCCCCGTTCCCCAGCACATTGATCTTGTTGTTGCAGGGGTGAACTGGAGCATCACACCTTACTGCTGTGCTGCTGGCTGATCCCAGATGAAAGGAATGATCACAGGGATGCCAAAGTCTCCAGATATCTGCCAGGTGTTCCCCCCTGTTCTCCCTGCCCCTTACCTTGCCCTGACCCCTTGCCCTGTTCCTCCTTTCCCAGATGGCATCTTCTTCCTCCCACCCATATGCTCTGCCCGCAGACCACAGCCTGCTCTCTCCTACCTGCCCTTCCCTTTTTGCACCCCCAGCCACCCCAGCCTCTCTTGCCCTTCCCTGGCAGTGCCCCCCACCCAGCCCCAGGGTGGCACTGCCTCTGCTCTGCCATGCCTTGTGGTTCCCAGAGCACCCTCAAGGCACAGCTCTGCAGCTGGCACAAAGCAAGCTCAGGCATCGCGCTGGCACTGTAGCAGTGGTTTCTGGGCACAGAAGCAAAAGGTGAGCCCAAAGCCTCCTTTCCTACCCCCGCACCTGTAGGGGTGGTTTAAAGGGTGCTCCTATGACCACTATAGCAGTCTGACCACAGATCTTGGATGAGTGCGAAAACAGGAGCATGACATTAAACGTTTTGTACAGTTAATGCTTTATATAGTGTTCTAGAAAGAGTAGAAGGGCCTAGGGAGAGAGCTTAAAGCATCAGTAACCCTGCTGGGGCTGGCTCAGGGCTGGATGGAAAAAACCCATGGGGCACTAAGGTGGCACCAAGCTGGGCAGCTCCACTGCATTACATGTAGGAGCAGCATGATGTCATGGGGCTGAGGGCTGCCACCCCAAATTGGTGGCTGGCAGCTGCAGGAAGCAGGACACCCCTTTGTTGCAAACACCCTGGAGTGCCCCATGTGTGACCGAACGCATCCTCCAGCAGACCCTCCTGAAGCCATCTCCCTCATCCCACACCCCTCTGGCTGCCGCAGGGCGCGGATCCTGTGATCCACCCGTGGGGGAATAATGACCCCAGGACCTACCTTGGGATGTCACTGGCTCAGGGTCCACGGCAGGGCTGTGCTGGCTCAGCAGGACAGCAGTGAGCAGAGCAGGCAGCCAGCCCTGGTGCAGGCAGGCTGCCATCCCGCCTGTTGTGCTTGGTACTTCCCAGCACCCCGGCTGCTGCCCCGGCTCTGCAGGGTGATACCTTTATCTGGGAAGTGTAGGCTGTGCTGCTCAGGAAGCCTGGCTGGAGGCTCCCCTCACCCCATCACCAGCACTTCCCCGTGCCCAAAACCACCGTGCTGCAGCCCCTCCACCAGCAGCCACAGTGCCAAGAGAGACTGCTCCCATCAGATAGGCAGCACGTCCTGCCCTTGTGGCTGGCTGCATGGGGTGGGAAGAAAAACAGCCACTGAGGAAGCAGGGAGGCCCCTTCTATGGGCTGGGCAAACTGTGGGACTTGGGGATACCTGCACTCTTGGTGTCATGTCAGAGCTCAGGGTGTGGGACGGTGGCTCCGGCTCCATCTCAGCCTGCGCTGCCCCACTCTGTGTGGCCCCACTGTGCCACAGGCAGGTTGGCATCAATCTGCCTCACGGCACCGCCATCCTGGGGGCATGGAGGGGAAGGGGGGAGCAGCCAGCACCAGTTTGTCAGGTTGTTTTTTCAATCCAGTCCCACTTCCTTCTCCATCTGATGACGGGGCTTTGCAAGCAACATGCACAAACCCTTTGGTTCAGCATGGCTGCCCCATGTTCACAGCTCAGCAGGCAGGTGCAGAGGTGGTGGCACACTGGAGCAGCTGGTCCCTGTCACTGCTTCACTGGCAACCTCACTCATGGAGCAGAGGATGCTCATCAATGGCTGCAGCTGCCAAGTAGCACTGGAAGCCAGAGTGGGAAACTGAAATGGTATTGACACATTTGAATTGTGATCTGGGGAAAAGAGGCTGTTTCCCAGAAAGAAAAATGCCTTGCTGTGGGGTCACACAGAATGGACGGGCTGGGGACTGGGCACATCCTCCAGAAGAGCAGCAAATCATCAACTCCCCATCCCTCCACTGGAGCCAGCTGTCCCTTGTACAGTGTTTATTGACCATAAAACATAGCCATTGAGTTCCAAGGGGAAGTGCTGAGCTGGAGACTGTGCATATCATTCCTCCTTCACTGGGGCTGCTGCATCCCAAGCCATAGTGATGCTCACCATCTGCTTGCAGTGGAGCATGCTGAGAACTGCAGGGTAGGGAGCTGCCAGGTCTCTGCTTCCACTTCTCACCCCGCAGTTTGGATGTTTGTCTCCTGCCAGGGCGTGGGCTGCAGCATCCCAGCTCCTGGGGACCGGGCCCTTCTTTCTGCTGCAGACACCGTGTAGGGCACACAGCTGGCACTTGTCCTTTGGGGCTGTCCACACGTGTCCCCCAGCCAGCATGCATCAGAAAGCAACTGGGAAGGGCACAGTGCAGTCCTGCTACAGGGAAGGTGTCCCAGCAGACTGGGGGTTGGCGTTTACGCCTCCGCTATGGGGGTACAAGCTGGTGGGAGCTGCATGGAGATGGGTGCAGCCTCAGGCCTCCTCAGCAGTGGCATCAATCCCTGCATAGGTGAAGTTCTCAAACAAAGCCATGTTCACGTATGCCTGCGTGGGAACACAAGTCAGGAGCAGGGGAGATGCTGAGGTGTGCTTGGTGGGGTTCCATGAGGGTGGCTGGTCAAGTGGCCACTCACCTTCCTGGCCTCCAGCATGCGGATGAGCTGCATGGAGATCTGGGCAAAGGGTGGGCGCTCGTAGGGACGGTCGCGCCAGCACTGCCGCATCAGCTCGTACCTGGGGGCACAGAGTGCGTGTGCACGGGGTGGGGTGGGCAGAAAGGCTGCTTGTGGGAGATGGGGAGAAGTGGGCAGGAGACAAAAGCATGGCGTAGAAGGCATGGGGCATTCATCCAGTGGTGCACAGGGGACCAGGATAGGCTGCCAGAAGCCATCAAGAACTCCCACAGATAGTAGAGAGGATGCAGGGCACTGCCAACTTACACCTCATCGTCACAGTTGCGGGGTTTCTCCATGCGATAGCCCTGCGGCAGCTTCTCGTAGAGCTCAGCACATGTCATCCCACAGTACGGTGTGCCCCCTGCAGCCACATACATACGTGGCTTGTGGTGGGGGCATGAGGTGCCCCCATCCCCTTGACATCCCCTGAGTTGTCCCCTCCAGAACTGCAGGAGGACCTGCAGGGACCTGAGGAGGTGGAGGGGACAAAAGATGAGCCTTACCCAAGCTGACAATCTCCCAGAGAAGGACGCCAAAGGACCACCTGAAATAGTAGGTTAGGTTGTGATGGAGCCAGCAGCCGTATTCCACTCATGAGGAGGGGGACAAGCTGAAGGGGTTCATGGTGAGACTGGATGGGGCTGACAAGAGGGACAGGGGTGTCCCAGCCCCGGTGTCTGTGGACTTACACATCGCTCTTGGTGGTGTACACGCTGTAGTTGAGGGACTCGATGGCCATCCAGCGAACGGGCAAGCGGCCCTGGGGAAACAGAGGGTGACCCTCAGGGGACATCCCAAGGAAGGAGGGAGGATGGTGTAGCTGTCTTCCAGACGGCTTCCCATTGCTGGGGGATCCTGCCCTCTGCATCCATGAAGGATCCATGGAGTTCCCTAGCTCCTCCCTCACCATTGTCTTCTTCACGTAGACCTCCTCCCCCCTGGAGAGGCCAAAGTCAGCGATCTTGGAGGCCAGGTTTTCTCCCACCAGGATATTCCTGGCTGCCAGGTCCCTGTGAATGAACTGAGAGAGGACAGCAGTGAGCCATGGCTGGCCAGAGTCGAACTGAGAGTTGGGGCTTGAAATGGGGATAGGGAGAAGCTGCTCCAGAGGGGAACACAACCCTACCCCGTGTGCCTGGGGACATACCTGCTTCTCACTCAGGTACTGCATCCCCTTGGCCACATCTGAAGCAAACTGGAGGAGCTGCTGGGAGGTGAGGGTGGACGCGGTGCCATGCTCCTTGGCAAAGGCTGGGTCGGTCTCCAGAACTCGGCTTTTGCGGAGGAAGTCAAGGAGGTTTCCATAAGGGGCATACTCGATGGCAATATACAGGTAACCTGTGGGCAGGAAGAGGCAGGTCTTACCAGGCTGTCTCCAAAAAAGGGCAGTAGCCAGTGGGGAAAGGGGGACAGCCCTCACCCTTGTTCTCACAGGCGCCCAGCAAGTTGATTATGTTGGGGTGATGGCCCAACTTGCACAGCACCTCTAACTCTCCAGCAAAGTCCCGGTGGTCATTCTCTGAGGCGAACTCTGGAAGCAAAGCAGAGATGCACACCTGGACCCTTCCACCAGTCCTCCACAGACAGCTCGACAGCTCCTGCCCCTTCTCAGCCCAAAGTGCTGCTTGGGATGCAACCTCATCCCCACTACCTCCCCGCCTGCTTCATCCTGCCTGACCCATCGCAACGCTCACCCTTCAGCATCTTGATGGCTGCATTCATTTTCAAGCCATCTTTTTTGATCATGGCCCTGATGACTTGCCCAAAGTTCCCTTCCCCAATCATGTCCTCAAACTTGATGTCCTCCCACTCCAGGATGGGGTAGCTGAGGGGTTCGGGCTGTGGCTTGGGCCGGCGCGTCAGGGTCAGGGTCCCTGAGTTGAACTGCAGGATGGTCTCTTCTCCCTGCAAGAGGGGAGCAGTTGAGGTCAGAGGCATCGGGCACCCCTCTGCCCCACGGTGGTGCCAACAGGGCAGGTATCACAGGCAAGGGTGGGCTCCGCACCCTCTCTGTGTGGAGGTGAGGTCTGGCTGCATCCGGACTGGAGGCTATGGAGCGTGACCTGGATCGGGCTGGGACGTGGGGAGCTGGGGACACTGTCCTGGCAGGGCAGGCAGCACTCACCGAGCCAGACTGGTACGTGAAGGTGCGGCGCCGGTGGAAGAAGTTCTTCTTGATGAGAAAAAGTGCCAGCAGGGCAAAGAGGATGGTGAGGCAGGTGACGGACACGGAGCCGATGATGGCCAAGAGCAGCTGCTGGTCTACTCCCGACTGCTCAGTGCTCTGGCTGCCCAGGCTAGGTGGCACACTCAGTGCTCCTGCCAAAAAGAAGGATGGTAGACCATGGCTGAGCCTTGCATGGAGCTGCATGGAAGGCTGAGCAGCAAGACCTCAGCCCTGTCCCATCACACTGGGAGCCCATGCAGAGACCACAGCTCCCAGTGCCATGACATAAAGTTGGTAGTGCTTGGAGTGCAGAGGTGAGACACCCACCGAGGGGCTTGGTGCAGGTGCAGGCCTGCAGGGGCTCCCCACTCACCATCCCCCAGGGTCTTGGCTTTCACCAGCTGGCTCCACTCCCCTGGGACATGGGAGTTGGCCCGGACACGAAACTGGTAGGTGGTGCTGGCATTGAGGCCTCCAATGATCTTGGTTGTCTCAGCACCATTGTCGGTGTCAATCCACTGGGGCTCGCTGGTTCCCCCCACCTGCTGCAGCTCTACAATGTACTTGGTGATGCCCCCGTTGGGGTACTCAGGGACCTGCCAGTAGAGCCTGATGGCTGTGTCAGACACAGACTCTGCTGACAGCGACCGTGGGGAGGAAGGCCCTGGAAAGAGAAGTGGAGCATCAGTACCAGCACAGGGCTCCTGATGCTGCAGCGGCTGAGCACTGGTGGCAGAAGAAGCCTCCTCCAGCTCCTGTCAACAGCAATGGCAACCAGAGCTGTGCCAGGCTTGAGGGACCTCTACAGACCCTCTGCTTTATGCTGGCGTGATGTCAGGAGGTAAACATGAACTCATTTTTGTCAGGCATCTTATCATTCCCACTTCCTCTTCTGAGCCTTCTCCACATCCTAAAGCACACATCCCACAGCTACCCAAAGCTCTGAAAGTACAGCGCAGAGAAAGCACTACATCCTGCAGACCTGACACCTAACAGCCCTCCCAGCACGTACCAGACTGCTCTCAACCTCACTGAAGCCACACCTTGTGCTCTGCTTCCCTTCTGGTTTACCAGAAAGGTTGGTCAGACTGATGGGATGTGGCCATTTGGTGAAAGTGTACCAGGGTTATTGCAAGCAAAAGGAAACAACTTTTTTTTTTTCTTTTTTTTCCTTCCCCCACTGAGAAACTTCTTACTACAGAGTGTTGGAAAGGCAACAAGTGTAGACAAGTGTGACAGAGCGTGGCTGTGGGTATGAAG